GGATCGCATCAGCGCAGCGGCCAAAACGTACCAGTTTGCTGTTCGCAAAACGATCAATCGGCGAGGTTCTCGCGTTCTTCGTCGAAGAAAATAGTAACGCTCACGGGAGAAAGAAAAAGAGAAAGAGAGAGAGAGAGAGAGAGACGGTCTAACGCCGCGATATATCCGCTCGATTTACTTTCTCGACTCCCTTCTGTCTTCCTGTCCTTCCCTCGCCGATGCCGCCGCCGCCGTCGCTGCTTTCTCGCTGCACAAAAGCCGACACGAGGGGGGAACAAAAAAAGACTCGCTCGTCCGTGCGAGCCGCGCGCGCGAATATGCACCGCGAGCGCAATTATACGACGAACACAGCCGTGAAACGCATGTAGCAGGCGACCACGACGACGAACCGGTGTGCCGGGGCGAACGAGCACAACGGCGGTAGGGAACGGACGGAAAGGGAGGAAACGGAGTGGGGAGAGAGAGAGAGAGAGAGAGAAAAAGAATAGAATACCGTAGCTCACCTTCTTCGCGTTTTATTGTTCTCGCTTTTGCTTCCTTTCTTCCTTCCCTTTGAGGATCTTCGCGTAGATTTCGCGATGTCGCGACGTATTGGCTGCCCTCTTCCTCTTCCTGTTTTTGTGCTTACGAGAAGAACCGTTGGAATTGAAGGATTTATTCAGCAATTCGTTAGATTTATTTTTAGATTTTTTATTATTATTATTGGTGTTATACGATATTAGCGATGACGCGTTTGACAAAAGTTTTAAGTTATAATAAAACATTTCGCGATAAAGAATAGATTAGATAGGTAATTATAATAATATCGCTTTGCATTGTATTTACACGGTAGAGGCAACATTTTATTTCTCGAACATGAAATACAAAACCAATTTATTACGCTATTTTATTTTCATCTCTAGTTGCAAGATGAAAGATAATATCGAACGAATAACAAATGATCGGATACATGAATGGAACAATTTCCTCGGAACACACGCGTATATGGATTCATATCATCGAAAGGATTAACTTGATCCCAATCTTGAATTTAACAATAACCTAACCTGTACACACACACACACACACACACACACGCACACACGCGATCCTCTCTTCAGTCAAAACTCTCCCCACGCTGAACATCCGTCCATTCGGATGGTTCGCGATCGCCGCTCGGTTCTCCCTTATAAACCATTTACGAGCGGACGAGGCGGCACGTAATTACGTAACGAACGCACCCCAAGACACCGGTAAATTACCGGCAACGCAGCGAGGCGACGGGAAAAAGGAAAAATAAGAACGCCAAGGGAAGGACACGCGCTACCCTCTCGCTTCGAGTCCCTCGACTGTACTGCCCCCTCTCCTACCTATACCATTTCAAACTCTCCTTGCGTCTCTACACTATAGTCCAGCGTACAACTATGGCAATCCTCGCGAAATTCGTAGGATGATTGAATTTAAGGTGAAATGCACGATGGATTAATAACAAAAAGGCTAGGGGGGAGGGGAAAATATTTCGCGTTTGGACGATTTTATCATGATGTGACTTTACAGTTAGTAGATAAGGACCGACAAAGCAGGAAACATCGATGGTCTCTTTCTTCCTCTTTCAGTTTCCGTTCTCGTTCTTCCTTCCTGTCTTCCTTCCTTTCTTTCTTTCTTTCTTCATTTCTTTCATCCGTTCCTTTGGTGCTCATTTCTTGTTAAGACAAGCGGAACAACGACATCGACAAGGACAAAGATAAATAGAAAGAGAAAGAATAGCGAGAGATGAGCGAGACGTATAGTTTATGTGTGTACAAAGAGGATGGGAAACATACAGGGGGTGATGGTTTAGGATTGGAGGGAAGAGAAGGAGAAGGTGGACGACGAGGGAAGGCGGTGACCCGCGGTGCCTGTCTGTCGTGCTGGCCGCGTTTCAGAGCTCTCCTTCTAGCGTGCCACGTTATAGCACCGTTGCTTCTCCATCTCCCTTTCTCCGTCTGCCTTCGTATCTCTGTCTCTATTTCCCTTCGGATTCTCTCATCGTCCGTAGCGAGTTTCAGTCACGGAACGCGCGTGTTTCGTCCTTCGGGGTTGTAGAAACGGAAGACGAATACGGAACGAGTTGAAAAATACGGGGCGAGGAACTAGAATAGAAGAGAGGAAAGAAAGAGCAAAAATTGGTGATAGCTCGCTCCATCCGATGTGCAGTGCTGTTCGAAGTATGCAGAGCTATCGAGAACGATGCGACTCGGTGACCGAGGAGGGCGAACGACGCGAGACAATCGCAATTCTCCGCTTGGCTCTGCTCTGCTTCGTTGGCACGTCGCGCCGCCGTGAGGTAGAGAGCAGAGAAGAGCGCTCGCGATTGGGAGAAAGAAGCATGAACGAGGAACCCGTTGGAAAAGAGAGAAAGAGAAAGAGAGACAGAGAGAAAAGAGGATAAAACGGCAAAGGAGAAGGTGGATAGGGTGTAGAGGTTGTGGAGAAAGAAAGGCAGAGAGAGAGAGAGAGAGAGAGGTTGGCGCGAGGGAGAACTTTGACGAGGCGGTGGAGGAGGAGGAGGAGGATGAGGTAGTGGAAGAGGAGAGAGGAG